GATTTATTAACTTATCAAATTAACTTTCGTATTTATAATATTAAAGTTAGTTTATTCATATTACTGCTTTCTATTATATTCCATGAGTTATAGCCAATTAAAAATCATCGTCAAATAGTAGAAATTTTCTATAATTTATCACATATAACTTTTTATTGATGATGTCTCGAATGCCAATTTAACAAACGTGAATGTTATTAACTCTTAACTCTTTGTTGGATGTTGGAACAGAAATGAAACTAGTGGTGGATGGCATCGTGCGTTAAGGCAAATTGCTGAAACTTCCCGTACCGTAATGAAATATTCGAAAAATATTAAATGTATTGAAATATATTATTTTAAGTTATATTTTAAGTATATAGGTGAGCTTTAGAATTTCAGCTAGAATTAATTAAATTAACTCCGAATTATTTTCGATAATCAAAAGAAAATTGTTTTTGGAAATGAAATAGAAATTGGGAATATTTTTTTTGCTTTTTCCAAAAACAATCGTTTTGAAAATACATGCAATAGATTTTTTGAATCATTCAAATCGGTTGCTTTGTTCTTACTTCAAGCTCTTTATCTCCAAAACGGCTGGACCTGCTTTTGCCAAAAACTAATCACCACTTATCCTTATCATTACGAATTGAATGCTTTTTGAGTCATTCAAATCGGATGCTCCATTCTCTAAAAAACCCAATTTCTATTTTCTGCACACTTAGCTCTTTATCTCCGAAACGGCTGGACCTGCTTTAGCCAAAAACTAATCAGCACGTCTTTCCAACAGTAGGAATCGAATGTTTTTCGAATATCTCAAATCGGTTGACCCTATTGCGCCCAAAATAGTGGACGAAATTATATCCATACAAAACACACACACACACACACACACTAAATCACTAGATTGCTAGATCGGAGACTTTGTCATTTTTTTTTGAATATTGAATATATTTAATTGATTATTGATTATTTTCATTCCTCCAATGTTTAATGTTGTTGTATGTTTAATTATGGTACAGGAAGTTCCAGAAATTTGCTCACTAGTTTGTTTATCAAGTAAACTTAAATAATATGCATGTATAAAATATTTTATGCTTGAATTTTGATAATAAATTATTCATGTTGAAAATCAAATTCTTATAAAATGTTATTACTTATGAATATCAAATTCTTCCAAGGCAACTCAAACTGCATGTTTTATTTTGATTATTTAAATTATTATATATATAATGAACATTATTTTAAATATCTAAATAAATATATGCGAATCGAAATTGTTGTGTCTCCAATATTTAGAAAGATTAAATATCGAACAATTTCGGCTCATTTTTGAGAAGATTTTCTCGATATTTTTTAGACATACACTTTTACTTGTATACATATCATCATGGATTTAGGATAAAAATTTATAAGAATATATGACCAATTTTATAAACTAATTAATGAATAATATAATTATTATATTAAATATTTACAAAATGTATTCAATAATTCAATAAGCATTTCAAATTTTGCAGACATTCGATTATCGAATATTTCTTTCTGCTATATCGATATACATTTATATTTATTATATATAAACTGGTATGTTCATAACATACAAAATTTGTTTTATAAAATAGTTTATATATATGTAGATGCATACCATTGTGCTTGGAGATTTTCTATTTTTCTGCTCCAGTTTTTAAAAATCTTCACAAGTTTCTCAATCAAATTTTCTTAATGATGTTTCATTTTAATAATTGAATCCGTGCAATTTCTTCACGTAACTTATACGATTACACGATCTGATTATTGTGCATGAAAAAATAAATTATTTATGAGTCGTTTCTCAAGTAGAAAATTATAACGCATTTGTTGAGATGTCAGTGACTAACTCTCTTGCTAAATAACAGGATTTGGAAACAATTTATAAAGTTTAGTACTCTTTTTTATATAAATTGCTTCAACCACAAATAATTGCATCTTCTGTATAATTTTATTGCAGACCCTAAACAAAATTTGGTATAAAATTCTCACTTTCAAGCTTCATAAGTTATCAAATAGAGATTGACAGATATTCTATTCATTTTCCAAATCGTGCAATGTGTGTACGAGTATACTCTTTACTACAATGTTTATAAATCTACTACAATGAGTGTAAAACTACGATAATGAGTGTGAATCTATGTCGAATTAATGTAAATCTACCACAATATGTATACACAGGGTCGGTCCTGGGGTCCTTAGCGCCCGCATGCAACTTTTTTTCTAGCGCCTCCCCCCCCCCCTCTATTAATATTAACTGTTTTAACAGTTTATCATTAAAATTATATAAATATTTACAGATTTTAAAAAAATTAATTTTTAATTATTCTGGATTTAGTACAGAAAAAATTAGATATAATCTAAAAGCGTATAAAATATATTGATATTAAATTTATTTATAAAATCGAGGCGATTCGCGGGTTGATTATAATCAAATATTTTAAAAATTTTAATTAATTTTTACGTATGTGCAATATTAAATATTTCGGTTTTAAAACATTTTACTTATTTATTATGAGATAGAATAACTATTGAGCAAATCATGCCAAGAGTGACAAAAAAACTAGCTTTTCATTTTCAATCATAACACACGTATTTCATATTGAATTTTTTTAAATTTTAATTTAATTTAATTTTTCATCACTTACAATATCCAAAATTGCGTCGTAAACTTCTCCTTATTGATATCGTAAGAGCCTAATTGTATATATCCTTGCTTTCCCGAGAGTATCAGAGTTTGTTGTTAATTTTAAATTTTAACGTATTTTAAAAGTATTGTCCAAAAATCAGTAAAAAATGCAAAGAAATTACACATTTCTTGAACTATGTTGAAAAAATAAACCTATTATATTTTATATGTATTATTTCTGCATAGTTAATAATTATTAAATTTAGAGTATGATTTCTGTTCCAAAGTAAATTTTGCTTCCATTTTTTATATGTGTTCCATTTCCATGAACCTAACCACGCATGTCTTCAACATTCAAAATTCATCAGAAGCGAAACATTTGCAATAAAACCAAAAGTTACAATTAAATTTCTCGGAATAAACATGCCATTTTTTAAGCACTGACTCCCCATTTTTTATTTTCCCGATTATAATTTATTTTTATTTTTGAACAAGATTTGTTTCAACTCGCAATTTTTCGTCAATAATGCCCAATAATTAATTTAATCTTTCGCAGGTTGAGCTTATGGGATTGAACACTAGATAATTTCTTTTTCGATTCCACGGTAACTTCAAAAAAAGAAAAAATTGAATAAGTAGATTAAGCAATGAACGGAGCTGTTATTTACTAATTTGCAGAGTTATTAATCGGTTAATTGTTTCTACTGATATCACATTGCAAAATTAATGTGAATAAATGCTTTTTGTGTCTCTTTTGTGGTATTAAGTATTCCATATTTTATATAAATAATTCTAGATTTTATATAAAAAATATAAATATTATATTATAAATTTAATTTCCGAAACTCGTTTTTGGCGCAAAAGGTAAATGTAATGGGTGTAAATATACTACAACGGTATACTCCCACCAAACATCACGTGTATTTTTAGTTACGTGATAAAACTATACATTTTTTGAATGTTATTTTTAAATATTTGAATTTTAAAGAAAAAATCAGTTAAAAAATAAATACACGTGATATCTTACTATATCTCTCCCTCCCCCACGTGATATTTCGTGATTTTTTCTCAAACCTCCCCTTCCCCTAAAAACCTCACGTGGTTAATTAACGCCCTCTAAGTTATAGTAATCGCAAAAAAATTAACTAGTGGTGTATGGCATCATACCTTAAGGCATATTGCTGGAACTTTCCGTACCAAAAGTTTTTTTTAAAGATTTTTTTTTTAATCTTTGAGAAAATTTCATTTTTGAGAAATTTTAAATTTTTGAAAAAAAACTTTTGGAAACAAATGTTTTTTTTTTCATTTTGAAATATTTTAGAAATTTTGAACTTTTTTCAAAGCTTTCCCGTATCTTTGGAACCGCTAGACCTACCTTTGCCAAAAACTAATCAGCACGTCTCCTAATCAGTACGATTGTGTGGGTGTGCGGATACAAATTTTTGTCGACGATTTCGGGAACACCGATCAACTGATTTGAATAATTCAAAAAACATTGGGTTAGTATTGATAAGGAGACATGCTGATTAATTTTTGGCAAAGGCAAGTCTAGCCGTTTCGGAAATACGGGGCAAAAAGCGCCAAAAACGGTAACTCAGTTTTTGAGAGAACGTGGCGTCCAATTTTAATAATTCAAAAACATTTTACTTACATTGATAAGATGAAGAGCTGATTAAATTTTTAAAAAACTACAACAATTATTATGAATTTACTACTATAATTGTAATATTTTGTATTGTAATTGTAATAAATTAGTGTGAATCTACAACAATGAGTAAAAATTTATTTCAACGATAGTAAATTTCGTTCATTTATTATGAATCTGCTAAAATGATTGTAAGACAAAGAATGCAAATATACTACTATAATTGTAAATCAACTACATGGCTACAATGAGTGTAAATCTAATAAAATTAGTGTAAATCTAATAAATGAGTTAAAATGTACCACGATGAGTGTAAATTTACTACAGTGAGTCTATTTCTACGTTCGAATTTAAATAAGTGCAAAACTACAACCATCTATGACTGTAAATCTATTACAAGGAATGATAGTTTATTTCAATGAGTAAATCTACAACAATAATTGTGAATTAGCAGTAGAATAAATCTACCACAATTAGTGAAAATCTATTTCAATGATAGTAAATCTACTCCAATGATAGCAATTCTACTCAAATTATTGTGAATCTACGACGATGATTGTAAGAACTCTGAAAAAATGTGAACTGAAGAAAAAAATATTGCATCTATTTTTATATAATTTAATATGTAATAGAATAAGTTGGACTATTATTAGATTAATTAAATTTTTCAAAATTGTTTTAAGGGAAATAATAGTTTAAAAAAAAAGTAAAATATTATGCCGAAACTAGGGATCGAACCAGGGACCTTTAGATCTTCAGTCTAACGCTCTCCCAACTGAGCTATTTCGGCTTATACTTGCGTTCGCTTCTAGAGGATACTCCTTGTAGCGGATTTTTTTTCACAGAGTTGGGGTTAAGGTTTAAGGACTATTGGCAAGTTGCAAATAATGTTAAAGTGATAACTAGAATTTTATTATGTTAAGAAACAAGATAATAATATTAGAGATATTAATTAAATAGTTCTCGGATAAGCTTATCTTACTACTTACTCCTATATAGTAATGATAAAATTACTTGGTTTTGAATACTTTTACTTTTTTCATTTTGTAGCATTCGCAAATCATGTTGAGGGCAGGGGCGGATTCAGGGACCTGGTAAGAATTTAAATAATAAATAGATAAATTTCACATTATTTTGAATATATTTCTGCTTATGTAATTTAACAGTATTTTTGACTGGAAAAATAAATTTGATTTGTCCACGTGGTTTAACGCCACCACTTTAGATGTACAGATTTTTTTTTTTAAATATGGCGCAAAGAATATAATTAGTTCCATTCTCGGGTAAGCTTACTATTTCATCTTATTACATATTACTGTAAGATAATTTTATGTTTCTAATCGATTTACTAATATAAGTTTAGATGAACTGGAATAATAATATAAGAGACAAAATAAAAAAGCGTATGATACATCAGAGACGAAACCAAAGCAGAAACTTAGCAAATGGGTACAATGAAATATAGATATAATATAATTGGATATATTATATTAATTTTTTATGTTTGATATTCTAACAATATTAATAAATTTCGAATCTTTGATTATTTATCAAATAAAGGGCATTGTAATTTTTCTTATAAAAGTAATTTTTATCAGGTATATTTTTAATTTATTATAATGACAGAAACTTTATTTCGATTGATATTAGGGTATAGTATTTAAAAAAAACTACATAAACAATGGTATAATCAAATTAATGAGTCATAAAATCAAATAATACAAAAAAATGGCGAGTGTCACAACCGTCCACAACCAGAGGTTGTCTGAATTTAAACTTTAAAATTCAAACAAAGCTTATGAATATAATATAACAATATATAACAAAGTATATTTTTTCAAACAAAGTTAGCAAGAAATTATTATTAACTTCCCGTAGGGCAAGTTATAGTAATCGCAAAAAAATCGAAAATGAAAAATTTTATATATCTTTACGTTTCAGAGGTTTCTGAACATTTTGGCATACCTTAGAAAAAATGGATGTATGTGTGTGTGAGTGTGTGTGTGTGTATGTGTGTGTGTGTGTGTATGTATGTATGTATGTGTGTGTATGTATGTGCGGATACAAATTTTCGTCGACGATTACGGGAACACGGATCAACCGATTTGAATAATTCAAAAAACATTCGATCCGTATTGATAAGGAGACGTGCTGATTAGTTTTTGGCAAAGGCAGGTCAAGCCGTTCCGAAGATACGGGGCAAAAAGTTCCGAAAACGGTAACTCAGTTTTTAAGAGAACGGAGCGTCCGATTTTAATAATTCAAAAAACATTTTATTTGTATTGACTAAATGAAGAACTGTTGAAATGAAAGGAAGGTCCAACAACTTCGGAGATATGGAGAAAAAAGTAAAAAAATGAGCCATTTGGCGGTCAAAAATGATCATTAGACATATGCACATCAAATTATTAGATATTTTATAGAGATTTTAACAATAAGTATACATTTTGTTAACATTCCTATGGGTTCCGTACTAATGCTTATGCGTTAGACAGCGACGCGGCGCTTACGCGCTTTATATTTTGTCCCTATGCAGTTAAAGCAGTACGATTGCTTTGAAAAAAAGTTCAGATCTTCCACAATATGTCAAAATAAAGAAATTTTTTTTTTTAAAAAAAAAACAAAAAAAAAATAAAAAAAAAATTTTTTTTAAAAAAAAAATTTTTTCAAAAAAAATTAAGTTTTTGTCCAATTTATAGTTTCTCAAAAATCTTATTTTTTCAAAGTATTTTTTTTTTCAAAAATGTTAATCGTTTTTAAAAAAATAATAATTTTTGGTACCGGAAGTTCCAGCAATTTGCCTTAAGGCACGATGCCTTAATTGCCTTAAGACAGAATTCCACTTACATCTAGTATTTTTTTGTATTGAATTTTTTTTCTCTTAATCTTTCGTATTTTGTCTTAGTAAAGTTAGATTTTGTTCTATCACTAAATACATGTCACATAAAACAAAACAAACTATCTGGCAATTAACTACTAATGCTTACAGCAAACTTACAGCAAAACAAACAAATTGATCTATTTGTATACAAGTAACTGTTATTATTAAAATAAATCGAACAAAAAACTTAATTTTGACTCTTTGAAAGCAATGTGTTTTACAGATGTATTAATGTAGGGCGTTGACTCAATGCAAAAATGGAAACTTGTTTGAACAAACATGACCCTATCTCAAAATCAGCATAGTTTAGCTGTTACGATGATTGTCACTACTGTACTCAGTCTTCCTTATTATATAATTGAAATTGCATTTTAGTTTAAAAAATGCCATTATACATCTTGTAAACAATATCAATTATATTAATTCGAGATAAGATATAAATAAGTTGCATTTTGTTCAAAGCTATAAGATTTCTTGGTTTACTACCCCCTTTCTTTATTATAATATAAGAGAGAAAAACTCCAATTGAATGTGAAAAATTTACTCTCTTAAGAATATAAAAAAAACTTTATTTGAATATCTTTACGCTGTTGTTTTATAAGATTCGTAAATAGTGTTAAGACGAAAACTAGATTAACTTTTAGTTTGTTCAAAAGACACAAAAAACGTTAATAAATCATACAATCTTGTCTTACCGTACGAGAAGAGAGTAGTAAAAAAAATAAATCTGTTTATGGGGTGATTCTGGGTGCCTTTAGGGTTTGTCGCCTACTAGATTTATTTAATATGATTCGCAAATGGCGTGGAGGTAGACTCGAATAAGTTTTATTTCTGTCACATGTAAGATCAAACAAACTTGATAGATCTATTTTCAGATTACTATATTATATTACCGTCTACATCATTTATTTTGTATGTTTTGCAAATAATGTTAAGGTGTAGTCTAGAATAACTTATTTCCTTTTGCCCTAAAAATACATTATATGCTTTTCATGATTTAAAACTATGAGCCATTTCCAGATTTTTCATTTAAGATTATTGCTGGAGAATAAAAAGTAATATAAAAAATGTTTATACAATTAATAAAAAGTTAATGATATACTAGTATACAAAAATAAAGCACTGTTGTGTTTTTTAGGACATATTCTTATTCCAGAGCTTCTTGATTGCTTATTCTTGAATTTCTCGATTTCATAATCGAAAAATGCACAAGGGTGCAGAGTAAAATTCCGAAGACAAATTTAACTACATATTTTGTTACGGCATAAAAGAACATAGCATAAACATAAAAGCATGAAACTATCAGCAATATTTTTATAACATTTTTTAATATTGATATAATAGTGTACTTCTTAATTAGAATAACGTCTACAAAAAGTTATTTTATTATACTTATTTCTAAAAAGGAAAAGGAATATAAAATAAGTAATATCATTTTGAAACATTATTACTCAAGTTGATTAACCACCAGACCTTTAGTTTTTTTTTTTATTAAACAATGATAATTACAAAGGACAAGCATACTTTCGGAATTAATTTGGAGCATTCAAAAATGGTTTAAATAATTTATTTTGACATCTTTAAATTTTTGTGATGTTTAATTTGATCTTTAAAATTACCAGAAATATAGTGTTATATATACGTATATGAATTTGATAGCTATTGAGCAGTTTCGTCTTTTAGTTAGCAACATCTGGAATATCATCATAACATCATATCTTTCATTACCATAAACCTTCTTTTATATACTGGCAATTATTAATAATTCATATTTATTGTTCTTAGTTGCAATGAATGATTTCCAAGCACGCTATGGTATATTTTGTTCAGGAAAAAATAAATCAGGTTACACAAGTAATACATTACATACTTACATTTCAATTATCACAAAATTATTTATTTATCTAGATTTTGTAGCATTTACATATATATACTAGCAAACCCGACGAACTCCGTTTCGCCACCAGATGGTTTCGTGCGAAAGATGAAGAAATTTTTTGTTTGTTTTATATTTTAAAAGGAAAAATTTGATTTTATTATACAACAGTAACGAATTTATTTTGATTACAAAAATGAAGTGTTTTTTAGTTGAACTTCTCTAAGTAAATGAAAGTAAATCCGCAAATTATCCGTTTCATGGAAGTGATCTTTGGCAAACCACATTTTTTTTTGGTCTGACATTAACACAAACAAAGCGGATGGTTTTCCAACTTGTGAACAGGCAACGTATAACTGCCCATGTGAAAAACAATGATTTTTTAAATAATCTATTTGAAATTTATCCCGCAAACACTAAGCGATTGGCCTTGCGACATGTTATTGCGAACGCAAGGTGAACAGGATATTGCAATCGTTTGAAGTCAAACGGAACACCAATCAGAATCATTGGTATGTCACCAAATCGCCAGCAATTTTTGATTGAATGGTGAAATTCAGGGCGTGTACGTCATTATTCTTTGCGGCAAGAATTGCTCGTTGACTTAACCAAGCATAATTCTGATAATTCTCACTAATGTCATTACTCGAATTTTTAATTACGGTGCGTGAAGTTCCAGCAGCTTGCATTAAGGCACGATGCCATGCGGAGCCCGAGACCTTTCCAACGAATGCAAAATTGTCGAAATCGGTTCGTGCGTTCTGGAGTTATTTCGTCAGGAAGAAAAACTCGACTTATTTTTATATATATAGAAGATATATACATATATTTAACACCAATCTGAACTTATTTATCCGTAAAAATTAAAATCTGCCTTGAATGGCATTCAGAAAGTTTTGTGACAAATATGTGATATAAGATTTTAAAATTCTGCACAGTGGTAGTCATTTTAAGTTTGAAAATAGGTGACTACAGAAAAGTAAAATTAGTGTACATTACATGTTAATTTGCTAAATCTAAAGGATTTTTGTTGAGACTTCTGAGGATGTTTGAAGAAAGCAAACGTAAAGTCTTTTGCAAGCTGGGTTCGGATTATACTCAAGTTTTGTACTTCTATGCAAATCTTTCAATTTCTTCTGTCAACGTGAACATATTAGAGTCCTGCTGAATCAGCCAATTTGGAACCTACTTGAGCGCCTCTAGTATTGCCAAACCTTTGGAACTAAGTGGTTTGGCAACCCAAACAGTTGTCCGATCTCTTCATGATGAAATTATTATTAACATTTTTGTAATATTGATGAAATTCTTTCATGGAAGCAACATGCTGATTAAGGGCCAATGCCTCTTCACTTGAAACATATTGCCTTCTATATTTTCAAATTAATACCAGTGTTACTAAAGTCCACAGCTCTAACTACTAAGCCACGGGGGAGCCTTTTCTACAGCATAATATTTTTTTTAGTCAATTCAATGAAGACATCTTGTTATATGTTGGAATTTATAACCAGATTTAGATATTTCTCCATTAAAACCAATTAAAGCAATACATGCCATTGTTTGCAATACCATTTCCTCTAATTTGCCAAGTATGTGATTCATATTAATATAACGGATATTTATATATTTCTGCATAAGCAAGACGCAATAAATTATATAAATATTATTTCAGGCTCTTGTGAAACTTATATTCATAATTTAATAATAACCAGTAACATTTGTTCATAGTTTATTTAGCTAATCGCAGCACTTCGGTCAAATTTGAAATAAAAATCTATAATTAAAAATATAATATACAAAGTTGTGTTTTTTAATATAAAGTCTTAAATCAAGACTTCAATTTATCTGCAAACCTAAAAAGTGTATCGATTTATATTTGTAAAAAGAACAGTAATTAATTAATAAATAACAAAATATTGTTTAAAATTATCTTAATAAAACAATAAAATACAATTTTACAAACTATGAAGTGGACAAACTACTTGGGTACAGATTTAGTGAGAAAATAATTAAGTAAATCGTATTGCAGTTTCATAGAATTCTGAAAAATCATTTAAAAACATTAACTAATTGTAAGGTGCACAGAATTCTTTGTTTCTAAGTTTTAGATAGTTTGTTTATAAGTAGACAGAACTGACAAATTTATATTTAAATAGTTATTTATATTTGAAATAAATGTTTGAAAGTTGAAGCCAAGTTAAAAAGTTTAGAATTTTTTTTAAAATAAACAAGCGGTGCCTGACATCGTGTCTTAAGGCAAATAGCTAGAACTTCCCATACCGAAAATTATTTTTTTAAAAAAAGCTTTAATTTTTTTGAACTTTGGAAAATTAGAGCTTTGAGAATTTTGAAATTTTGAAAATATTGAACTTTTTTAACTTCTATTTCTGAAGTCATAGTAATCGCAAAAAAAATCGAAAATGAAGATTTTTATATATCTTTATCTTTCAAAGGTTTCTGAACATTTTGGCATACCTTAGAGAGAATGTATGTTTTTTTTTTTTTTTGTATAGCGAAGGAAATGCTTTTATGCATCCCAGACCGGTCTTCTGTCTGGGTATGCCGGACTCGATACCGCCTTGGTATAATACCGACTAAAACCTCCGCTTTGCCCTTGCCTCTGGTCCCCACGGAAACCGCCGTTAGGCATTACTTCGTGGGGGGAGGATCTAGAATGATATAAATTCTTTACTTGTTAAATCAATGTTATAAATTCATAAACATTATACTTATCTTTTAAATGGGCGAAGTCCCATTCGCCCTTTCTCTCTCTATAGAACGCAGGTCCATTAAAAAGTCTCTCGCAAATCTGTCTATGGCGTTCCAAGCAGCATCACTTGTCAGCATTACTTCAACAACATTACCTGGGGTAATTCTGCGTCCCAATTTCTCTTCCACGTCATCCCGTAGAGCAGTGATTCCCAAACTTATTTCACCTACCGCCCCCTTTCCGAAGGAGAAGTTTGTTTTCATCAAAAAATCCGACTCGCTAATTTTATGTTTTCTCGACGTTTCAAGCCATTCTGAATGGAATGAGACCAACATTTGGAAAAAGTATGTGTGTGTGTGCTTGAATAGATTTTTTGCCGTAAATTGACGTTTTCTCAAAAACGACTGGACCGATTTCAAAAATCTAAAAGCCATTCGATGTATCTCGATGAGGACTGTTGTTTGTCAGTTTTGTGCGATGATCGGCCAAGCCGCTTTTTTATAAATAACAGAAAAATGAAACATTTTTCGTCCACGTTTTAGCCCGCAATTCGGAATCTATTTTGAAAATTCAAAAACCGTTCGAAAGATTGGTTGGGAATCGACCTAATTAGTTTTTGGTAATGATCGGCCGAGCCGTTTTCTTGTAATAAAGTGTTTTCATTAATATAAGTAGTGGTAATTAATAAGTAGTAGTAATTTCTTAGACAATTTTTATGTTTTTTTTTTGAGGGTAGATACCACAGTTCTATAGATCATACTAAAATATTACGGTTCTACGACAAGTCGTTAAATTTTGAACATTCGTCAAAGTTTGCAAAAATTAGTATTGTTTTTATGGCGTTTGTCAAAATTAGAACTTTCAACAATGTTTGCTTAAAAGTGCATAAACCGATTTTAAAAATTTAGAAGCCAATCGATGTATTTCGATTATAATTTTAATGTGCGGGAAAAGGAATGACGGTGGGTGCGCTCGTACCTAAGGTAAATTTATTCGCAAAAAGTAATAAAAGGAGTCGCGTTAAAATTCAAGCAATAGTGGATTTAGATTCGGGAAATAATACAAATCAAAATTGCTATTCCAAAAATTACGCGTTAAATCTCAATCCAGGAGCCTTAAGCTTCACGGTGTTGTTGGAATTTCAACGAAATCGAATAATTTTACAAATTTAGAAATATTTAATGAAGATGGTACATTTGCAAAAAATAAAAAAATATAAATGCCTTTGTGCTTACGAAAATATCTACTACCCGCGCAGCAAATCCAAATTGCTGAATTAAATCTTCCTAATAGATTAAAACTTTTGGATTCACACTTAAATATTCCGCGCGAAGTAGATATGTTGATAGGCTTTTTAAAATTTTAGGTAACAAAAGAATTATACTAGGCCCCGATAAATCTATTTTACAAAACGCGGCATTCGAGTGGACAGTTACGGAGTAGATATCAAAGAAATATAATTAATAGCACGACAAATAGTGATCATATATCCGCCAATCTTACAGACTCTCTTACAAAAAATCTCTTACAAAATTTGGTAAAGTTACACGCTTTGAAAAGTTACACGAATTTTCGACATACAAAGAAACATATAAACCATTTTTTTCATTAAACCTTTTGCGAAACAAGAATTGGCGGTGCATAGTTTTAAAACTGATTTACTTACTAATACACTTATGCAGATATGTTTGAATAACTTCAACTAAAATATTATCTTTATATAATTCAGTGTTAATTTTAATCATTTATTTATATATAATATTAATATTATATTTTTTTTAGTTTTGTGCTTTAAACGCCCCTTAAAACTAAGCATCGCCCCCTAAATACACCACAGCCCATCACCGCCCCCCAGAATCGCCGCAGCACCCCCAAGGGGGCGCTGGCGCCCACTTTGGGAATCACTGCCGTAGAGCACCAAATCGCGGGCACACGAAAATGTATGTGTGTGTCTCTGTATCTGCGGATACAATTCTCCGACGATGGATCGAAAACACGGATCAACCAATTTGAATGATTCAAAAAATATTCCATTTCTATTGATAATGAGACGTGCTGATTAGTTTTTGGCAAAGGCAGGTTCAGCCGTTCCGAAGATACGGGGCAAAAAGTGCCAAAAATGAAAATTCAATTTTTGAGAGAACGATGCATCCGATTTGAATGATTCAAAAATATATTATTAATAAAAATATTTTTTAAATGAGTAGGAGACACAAAGTAGGAGTAGTTTTCTGATAACTGTTCAAATTTGACTCTAATTTTTATATTAATAATTTGTTTCTATTTGTCCTAGTGCGCACGGACCATGTCTACTGTGACTGCTGCAGCGGCGGCGGTGGAGCAACATCAGCAACGCTTCAGCAGCAGCAGCAAAAGGAAATCAGCGGTGGAATTGCTAGCAGAATCCAGGGCAGCTTTCTACGTCAAATCGGATAAGCTGAGAGATCAGCCCGACCGATACATCACCGGCAGGGACGAGGATCGGACTTCTTCGCACTGTGAGTACAAGTAACACCTTTTATTGATTTAGGGAATTTCGGTGAATACTTACTGATAAGAAGGATAACTTTATCGTCCGTCTGGTTAGTTTTCTGCCTTCTGGAAGTGGAATTTATCATCGTTTTTTTTTTGGTTGATAATGCAGATAACTCAATATCGAAGGCTGTGTAAAAAAAAATTGTTTGAGGTTTTCCGGGCAATGTTTGATTCGATTATCGATTTTTTTGGGCAGCTGAGTCGATACCGAAAAAAATGTACTCACAGTTCCAAAAACATAGAATACTAATTTTAGTTTTAAATAGAAGAATAGGCGGTATTGAGTCCGACATACCTAGACAAAAGACCAGTCTGCGATGCATTTCCTTCGCTATATAAACACAACACACA